ACCACTAGGCACCAGGGGCGCCACAGCGAAAGTAGTTCCGACCGGTGGTCCGGTAAAGTACAATCTTACCTCCAGCCCCACTTTCAACAATAAAGTTGAAAAATTTAAATAAATGAATGAAGGAAATTAAAAAATGATTGTTGACAAATGTTGACTCATGACGACATCATTATGATCGATGAATTAAGATTCTTGAAAATTCTACACAGAGTAGATCTAGACCTATATTATAACCCCCAAAAAAGGGAAATAAATAAAGGGAAACTCCGTCTGTACCTCCTCCGTATACGCCGCCACTCATTTTGTTGACAAGAATCTCAGTTTTCAATTCAATAAACAAAGGTATTGAGTCTTCTCAAACAGTACCGGTAAGGGCTTAGGCTTGGTTTGGTAGAAGAAAACTCACGCTAAATGAAACCGGAAGTTGTGCTCTTGCTAGGGAGGAGGGACTGGGAAACTTCGAACATCTGTAAAAGAATATAAGAAGAGTAGAATTTAGGCAACAAAATAGCTTAACCAACTATTTTAAAATCATAAATCTATCAATTATCTTTAAAAGCATAAAATTTGTTTATAAAAATTGTAGAATGAGTCTAATATTCTGTACAGAAAACACTGCTCCCTACTGAAAGATTTTAGTTGCCAGCTTGAAAACCTGAGACTCGAAATGATTAATGTGCTGACCACTGACCATAAATAAAAATAATTTATTAGCCTTTAGATCTAGAGACTTTTTGCAAGCATTCTTCTGGTTTTACTACTGCATCTTGTGAACAATTATAATGGGCATCTTATTTTAATCTGATGAAATAGGGTGTATGCAAGGTGGTCAAATAATGTACAATACCATGGATTAACCAAATTTACAGATTTGATTTCTTCTTAACAAAAACAGAAAAGGAAAGAACTAAAGACGTGTAACTATGTTGATGTGCTACGTGTATATATATCTTTGTGGGTTTACAGTGCAGCAATATTATGTGTTTTAAGCCTTCCCTCAAATCCAAAAAACCGGGTGTTATCATTTTAGGCACAAAATATTTTCAAATTGGCTTACACCAGGTTGCAAGTCCACACTCTTGCTTGCGTTTCAATATATTTGTTAAAATGTCATGTTATTGATGGACAGGCAAAAGAAAAAGAAGTTTTTTTATTGGCTTCTTTTTTTAAAGAAAATTATGTAAATGTCAACGTGGCCATCAGCGTATGATCTTATTATGCAATTGCGAGGGCAGTAAAACCAAAGATCGTTGTATACGGTAGTAGAGAATCTTTGGTAAAACTATACAGATATGTATCTAAAAAGGAGATAACCCAGTGAGTAAAACTTTTACACTTACCAAAATAAACAAAACATCAGTGACTAGTTGTTAGTATTGACTCTGATACTGATGGTGCTCACGCTCATGGAATCAATACCGTTTAGGGAAGGGTTTTATTATTTTTTTCCTTCAATGACACAATACAACTCTTGAAATTTGAAATTAGTGCTTACCGTGTGTCCATAGAAAGCTCGATCCTTGTCGATTGAACAGGTCATATTATATCATTTAACTTTCAATCTTTTGATTACCTGGCAATCGGAGAGCAACAAACAAAGCATCTTCCTTTGACTTCTTCATAGGCCTTGAGAGAGAGATGGGAGGAAGGGAAGTAACTCTATCGGTACTCGACTCGCGACTCGACTCAGTTTGCTTTGCTTCCTCTCTCCTGTAGCTTGCTTGCTGTGTTGCTGCTGCTGAAGTTGGAGTTCAACTTGGGATGCAGCGATGTCCATTCTGTTGCTCATTACAGAGTTCAATTTGTCCCTGACATTGCCAGATCGATGAGGAGACTGCATACTGACGCTTGTCGATTGTGAAGCCTTCATCTCATGTTCAAGTAAAAGACTGGTTAGTCTTTAAAATCAACACTTCTCACTTCTGTAATTCAGTGTAATCGAACTCGAAAGTGAAAGTCAACTTAATATCTAGAAAATCTAGATCTATAATCTAGATCTAGATCTAGATTCTAACATAAAATACACAGGAAGATTGAAGAATACTGGACTGTTTGTATACATTATTGCGCGAGAATGTGGGATGGGTGGTTGTAGTTGCGGTGGAGGAGGATAAAAACTGGGGAAAATCATGAACGAAGTGTATACAGACCTGGTAACCGGGAACAAAGTCACGAAGTATACAGACCCGGTAGGGGAAATCTTTTGTGGGCTGGATTGTACTTTACCGGACCACCCGTCTCGGCCCGTGATTACTACGCACACCTAGCCTAACTACGCTCTCATAGTCATAGTACTCTGAGTGCGGACAAAAGGTAGTTCCGCGGGCG